GATTTCTTGGTAAGGTGGCCATCTGAGGACATACATAGGCTTTTGGATTTCCATCAGTCTCAGTCATAGCTTGCCACATCACAAGAACAGCAGGTGACATCAGAAGAGGAAGAGAAAACCATAGTTCTTTTATCTTGGTATTCTATACCCACCGGAGACTATTAATTAAAGTCTTGTTCCTATAAAACAAATGAAATGTTTGGTTTTAGTAACAGAGAAAACAAAAATTATCAAGTTTTATCCTTTAAAATAGAAACCCACCATTGAAATGCCAATGAAATTATCCTTAGGACTGTGGCTTGGTGCTAGAGCTCTTGCCTAGATTGTGTGAGGTTCTGGGTTCAATCCCATCACCACAAAATGACAGAGCAAAGAGTCAAAAACAAACAAGGATGTGATGGAGCACACCTGTAATCCAGTGATTCTGGAGGGTGAGGCAAGAGCATCACAAGCTCAAAGCCAGCCTCAGCAACTTGGCAGCATCCTTTCTCAAAATAAAAGATAAGAAAAATTATGGGATGTGGTGGTGCATGCCTGTAATCCCAGAAGCTGGTAAGGCTGAGGCAGGAAGATCACAAGTTCGAGGCCAGCCTCAGCAAATTTAGTGAGGTCCTAACCAACTTAGTAAGAAAAGGTGAAAAGGGCCCAGGATGTAGTTTAATGGTCATACGCTCCTGGGTTTAATTGAGTCTCCAGTACCAAAAAAGAAAAAAGAAAAAAAAAAAAAGCCAAACAAACAAATGGTTTAGTTGCCCTTTGCTGGATAAACTGAGGCTTAGAAAAGTTAAGTGGCAAGTATAAAATTATTGAAATGATTATTGTTACAGATGACTGCAATCCAAGACTTCTTATCTTTGGAACAATCCTGCTGCTGCTTCAAAATAGTTTTCCTCTCAACTACTGAGATTTGTCAAATTTGGTGGCTGTTTTTGTTTTTTGGCTTGTTAGTTTACAGTGGTAAGGATTGAACCCAAGGCCTTGCACACTCTAGACAAGCACCCTACCACTGAGTAACATACCCTTATCTTCTTATCTAGAAGCCATATGTTAGTTGGTATACTTTATACAAAGATCAGCAAATTTATCAAGCCCCTTTTCCCAGGTCTATTCCTCTTTGGTCAAATCATTTTGTTTGATACACTGATTTCAATTTGGTTTAGAAAAACCCTTGGTGGTCTTCCTGCTGTTTTCTTAATGATTATGCTTCCAAAGTTGATTGTAAAGAGAGTCTGTTGATCACATAATATAACAAAAGACACCTTCTTTTTTTTTTTTT